CCCCAAAACCCCAAAACCCCAAAACCCCTTTAGCCGTGTGAGAAATTGAAGAGCAGCTTAGAAATAACTTATAAAGACATATTTTTTAAATAAGCATGAAGATGTACAAGCATGTTATCACTCAGCTTGAGCAAGAAGAACTCTCAAGGCTAATAGAAGATTCATATGGAATAGATGGCAACAGCCAAGTTAGATTTAACCATGAGAATGAGAAGATAGGTAAGTTTTTGAATTAAAAATTTAGACGTAGAGAAGATTATCCTTAACAGTAAGGAGACCCTCTACATTGCTCATAAAATGAGCGTTTATGACTCTGTTAGGGAGAAATAACATTATTACTATCCATCCAGGAGAGTTTGTAGAGGTCTCAACCATGGTACCCAAAGTCAGACGGATGGAAGGAATCTACATTTTTGTTAGAATGAAACCAGTTCTAGACTCAGAAAATGAGCTGGAACCTATTTATGCAACCCAAGAGATTGATGATTCCTTGAAAAGTAACAGCATTGTAAAAATGAGACAAGAGTCAAAGGCTGATGTTCGTTGAGGCCTTAGAAACCTTAAAACAAAATTAATCATGAAGTACAGATTTTCATATGATAATTATGAAATTAGGGACATGTTTATTGGATCAGTTCCATGCTTTACTAAGAAAGAGCTTAAAGATGGATTCATACTGGATAACCAAGTCTTTGAACAAATCAATAACTGGCTGGAACAAAGAGAGAGCAACACAAATAGACTAATAGATGTGCATAATTCTATACACGACCGTGATTTATTCATGCTTCAGACCAATGGAAGCAAGGAATTGTTTGATCTCAGGTTCAGAGATTTCCTCTGCAAGAAAGTAAGAACAAAAGAGGTCATTCTCTGTGACACCCGAGAATACTGACAACAGAGTCTGAAATTATGCAACTCTGATTTAACTTTTTACACAGGAAGATTCCTTCTTAAAAGACAATGGGTCAAGTATTGTCCTAACTTGCAGTTCTTAAAGCAAACAGAAGATGAGAGTAAGTTTAAATCTAAGCAGTAGATGTGTTCAAAATATGAAAAATCCAGTATCAAAATTTGGGATACATCCAAGAAATTGTTGGAAAAGATCAAGTCTCTTCCAAGATCTTTGGTAATGAACTCTGGAGAATATTTAATAGATTATCAAGTCATGAGAATTCAGCTATTAAGGAAAGCAAGGAACCATTATCAGGTAACACAGCATGCTCAAACACCGATACAAGGATAAGTAAGAGCTTTGCCTTGAAGCAGACTAAGAAAAGAAGAAAGGATGGAGGTTTGAGAAAACTTCCCAGCTCTATGTTAACACTGAATTTACAAGTCTCTAAGCTAGCATTGCTAAATCATTTGATTAAAACAAATAAGATCTCTCCTTACTGATCAGTCTTGTTTGGAATCAAGGGGATGAAGAAAAAGAGGGATTTCAAAAGAGAAAGAAAAGTAAAACAAGAAAAGATTCTTAGTAAGTATACAAATTATAAAGTTTAGATACACCTTTCAAAGGTGCAGTTTTTACCATCGAAAAAGTCTCAAAAATCCAGAGAATCCCAATCTTAGTTCCTACTAAAGAGGATGTCCAGGAGACCAAAGAGGCAGACATCGAGAAGAGGAAACCTTTCACTAAGAGACTGGAGATAGCTGCTTGAAGAATGGACTCAACACGGGTTCCAAAGGAGATCCCATGTAGAAATGATGAAAAGGAAAGAATTAAGAATTTTATTACAACTTCTTTACAGAACGGAGGGTCTCAGACAAGTTTGTATATTTCTGGAATGCCAGGAACAGGAAAGACTGTATCAACCGTAAATACAATAAAAGAGCTAGCTAAGGATAAATCCCTACCTAACTTTATGTTTGTAGAAATCAATGGGATGTCTCTTTGTAAGCCTCAAGAGATTTACACAATTATGTGCCGTAAGATTCTTGGAAAAAGTTGTAGGCCTTCTACTTCAGCACTGTTGTTAGAAAATTTCTTCTGAAATAAGAAAAAGTATAAGAAGAGACCTTTTACATTATTGCTAATTGATGAGCTTGATGCGTTGATTACTCGAAAGCAGGACCTCCTCTACAACCTATTCAATTGGCCAGCATATGGAGAGTCCAAACTAATAATTGTTTCGATCGCCAACACTATGAACCTCCCAGAGATGTTCTTGACCAAGATCCAGAGCCGAATTGGGGAAAACAGATTGGTGTACCAGCCATATAAAGCAGCTCAGATTAAAACTATTCTTCAGTCAAGACTTGGTGACACCGATGTGATCAATGAAGATGCTTTACTTCTGATCTCTAATAAAATTTCAAGTCTCAGTGGAGATTTCAGAAGAGCTCTCCTAGTCTGAAAACGTGCTATAGAGATTTGTAAGTATGACCATTTAGGCTCCAAGAAGTCCTGAGTTGGAAATCATCAAGAAAAAGTCCAATTCGAGCATATAATGAGAGCATTTGATGAGCTGTTCAACTCTAAAACAGACGAGGTAATTATTTTAGTTTTAACTATAGATCTTGAGAAGTCTTCGAAAATGAGAAAAATGGGCTATTGAAAGTGTTATTTCAGAGATGGATAAAAGCCATCTTGATAGAATCTCTCTAAATAAAGCCAAGGAGCGATTACGTGATAAAGCCACACATCAGACTGGTGACAAATCCTACCTAAAAGATACTGAAGCGTCAGAGATATACCTTAGGTTACAGAACTTAGGTATTATAATCATTAGCGAAGAGAAACGAAACCTGAAGGACTCACATTGGGTTGAATTAAGGCTGTTCATTGATGAAGTCAAGAATGCCCTAGAGTGTTCTGAATAAACATAATTTAGCAATGATTGATGTTTCATCCTCTTTTTATGGTCAGTTAGGAATAAGCAACAGGGAAGGTTAAATAGAATTCGGAGGAAAAATTTCCTTAAAAATTTATAACAAATTTTCAATTTTATCCAATATGAAGGGGTTTTGGGGTTTTGGGGTTTTGGGG